TCTGTAAGCCTTACGGATGCCCATTTGTTATGGGTCTGACTTCTCTTTACCTCTCGTAGCACTTGCCACTTTCACAATGGAAGAGACATTAGTTTATTCACTTGTTGGTTCTGTTTTATCCTGTCTAGCATTTCTGTAAGGCAAAGCTTACTTTCTCTCTCTCTCTCTCTCTCTCTGTGTGTGTGTGTGTGTGTTTGAGTTTTCAGTGGCTGGCACATAGTAGGCCTTCTCATAAGTGTTTCTAGAATGAATACTAGGTGGCCATTTTGAAAAGCAACTTGCAAACTTGTTTATAACTCGATGATGTGAATGATTAAAATCAGGGTTTCCAAGGTGTCAGAATCTGGGAAGCTTTGCCCTGCTTAGGGATTCTCCTCGGTCACCTGCTACACAGACAGATTTGGAGAAGCTCATCTCAGCAAAACACCGAGGGGAAGTGGAATTCTGCCACCGAGACTCTGCTACTGTTTTAGACAAAAGCAGATGACTTGTGACACTTCACAGGAAGATACCCGACCTTGTCTCTCTCTCCAGAGAAGGAATAGACGATGGGTGAGAGGCAGAAGAAGCATGTGGGGACTGTGCAGGAGGAAGGTGGGGGGTGGTGATTTACTGTCCAGGCTGCTTATACTGAGGCTTTTCTGTCACGTGCTTGGGTTTTGTGGCTACATGGCATTGGGGGTGTGATCCACTTGGTTGAATGCTTGCTTATAATAGCTTGCACATAAACTGACTTCAGTAGTGCCCTAATGGAACTAACATTTATATAGGGCACTCTTTATGCGATTTCTACGTGTTCAGCTCTCGATTTAGACAGCTCTCCTTACTCTTTCTGGGGTGTGTGTGTGTGTGTGTGTGTGTGTGTGTGTGTAAGCCAGCCGTTGATGCTGAGTATCTCCCTCAATCACTCTCTACCTTATTTTTTGAGACAGGGTCTCTCACTAAACTTGGAGTTCATGACTATGGCTTGACTAGTTGGTCATTGAGCTCCAGGGATCTCTTTCTCCAGTGCTAGAATTATGAGCACCCGCTGCTAGTCTTGGCTCTTACATGAACTCAGGTCTCCATGCTTGCATAGCAAACCCTTTACTGACTGAGCCATCTCCCTAGCCACGTCATATATTTCTGTGGCCTTTGCAAGCAGCACTTCTAATTCTTTACGTTGAAAGAAAAAAGAAAAAGAAAAATACTAGATGGTTTACGGAATATTTTTTTATAGCCTTTTTTATGTCTGGTAGGGGCATCAACACACAATACTGAGTAAGAGGCAAGGACCTGTTTCCACGGGTTTAAAAGTAATGCTGTGGTTTGACTGAGCCTCTCTGGGGATGGCAGGATCCCTGTTCATTTCCTCTAAAGTAGGAGCTCGTTCATTACTCCCAGAAGTTGGGATGATGGGGGTGGGGAGAGAAAGGTCATGAAGCTGTTAGTAAATTTCCACTTCATGTTCTCAACTCGTGACTACCTCACAGTCAGCCTCCAGAACACCTCACCTTCAATGGTTCTTTCTCTAGGACATGATTAACTGAGTCTTATTTAGTGTCAAAGAGGTGTGGTGAACACCTGTGACATCATAGCAACACCTGTGACGTCACACCCCTACCAAGAACTCTCGTACCTGCTATCATACTCCCCATGGGGAAGAAACCACTGCTTCCTAAATCGCACTGTTTTAGCATGTGAGTGAGTAAGTTTGTTTAGTTCTCAGTTGCTATGACATTATAAAAAATGGTGGCCATGAGAGCAAATAATACACAACCGGGCTTGGATTTTCTCTATTTTCCTACTTGGTGGACCCTTACTTATCCCTCAAAATGCAGCTCTAAGGGGTTTTCAGCTGTGAAACTTTTTGTGACAAGTACTGTGACTTTCATACTTTAATTATCTAATTTTTTTCATTTTCAACTTTTATTTATTTATTTCTTTTTTATTTAACTTTTATTAATTACACTTTATTCATTTTTGTATCCCCCATAAGCCCCTCCCTCCTCCCCTTAATTATCTATTTTTATATGTACTATATTATGTGTAATATATATATATATATTGTGCTTTCTACTTATGTGTTTAACCCCTTTTTGGGTGGTGTGAGAGCTTAGAGAGGAGTGTGTTCATTTTATTCATGACCTACCCAGTATCTAACATTGCTCTTGAGAATTCAACACCTATCTGATAACCAAAGGGAAATATAACATTGCTTTAAATAGATTTGGTGTTTTTTTTAAACTTCCTTTCCCTTTCCTTTTATAAAAATTGAGCCAGTGAAACCACAGTTCTGTTGAAATGACATGCTATGCTGATTCATGTTATTTATTTAATTTTATGTGGGTATTTGTGTGCACATGTGTGCATTTTTGTGTGTTTGTGTGTATGTGCATATGCATGTGCTTGTTTAGCTGTGAGTGGAGGCCAGAGGTTGATGCTGAACAGTTTTTCTTTTTGAAAATTTATTTATTATTTATTACAACTTATTCACTTTGTACCCCAGCTGTAGCCCCCTCATCTCCTTCCAATCTCACCCTCCTTCCTTCTACTCCCTATATGTCCCTCCCCTAGTCTACTGATAGGGGAGGTCCTCCTCCCCTTTTATCTGACCCTAGCCTATCAGGTCTCATCAGGACTGGCTGTATGGTCTTCCTCTGTGGCCTGGCAAGGTTGCACCCCCTCAGGGGTTGGTGATCAAAGAGCCAGTCCCTGAGTTCATGTCAGAGATAGTCCCTGTTCCCATTACTAGGGAACCCACTTGGGAAATGAGCAGTCAATGGGCTTCCTTTGAACAGGTGGTCTAGGTCCTCTCCATGCATGGTCCTTGGTTGGACTATCGGTCTCTGCAGGATTCCATGAGCCCAGGTTTTTTGGCTCTGTTGTTCTATGGGCAGTTTTCTCAACTGCCTTTCACCTTAGCTTTTGAGGCCTGGAATGCACTGTCAACTAGGCAGGCTAGTCAACGAGTTTCAAGGGTCCTTCAGCCTTCTCCATCCCTACCCTCAGTGCTGAGGCTGTAGACAAGCACTACGGTGCCTGGCTTTTGCATGAGCACAGGGGATCCAAACTTAGGCTCTCACGCTTTTGCAGTGAGCACTGTACTGATGGAGCCATTTCCCTAGTCTTTATGTATTTATTTCAGTCCGAAGGATTGGACTCAGAGCCTTGCTTCTATAAAGTTAGTCCTCAAAATCTGAGCTACACTCCCCTGCCATAATAAAATAGATTCCAAAAGTGCTGTGGATACATGCTAAAGTTTTCATGTGCTAGTCTACTGTACATTCAAGTTCTCTACACTGAGACCTGTGAAGGCTGGATTTGGCTTGATTTCTCGGAGTCACTCCAGTCCCAGGCCAGACACTCTTATTCTCTAAGTCCTTGGATCTTCAATATACTGATCAAAGAACATCTGGGAGCTGCTCTCACTTGTCTTTTCTTTCAGATGGAGTTCAAGGTTTTGGAGAGCCTGTCTAAGTGCAGAGTTCGTCTTTGACTTGCCTTTTCCAAGCACATCACTGAAGACTGCCCGTCCTTGGAGAAATGCTACTTGTACAAGGGCTCCACAGAAGCACTCTAGAGAGTGCAGAACAGGTTCTGAGAGAGATCACCTCAAGACAGTGGCGAGTGACCTAGTGCTTTTCTGGGTCCTTTTGACCATATGCTTAGCACTGGGGCATCTTCTTAGAAGTGGGTCTTCAAAATAAGCCTCCTGGGAAACCAACCAATTTCATCCACAGCTAGAAAACTAGAAAAATCTCATCTAGTTTGGTTGACCAGTAGCTTCTGGCATGGCTATGAGAGATTGCTGCATTAGTGCACATGTTAACAATTATCTATTTTGTATAATTCATAGAGGTAATTTTTTTTTTTTTTTTACTGCCTTGACATCTTTTAAGCTTTAGAGATTAGGGTTGTAGGCACAGGTAAAAAGAATGTGTTAATGGTCAAAAAATAAAATTAAAGTTTAGTGTGCGTACAGTAGCAAGGGCGTGCTGTATGCTGATGCTCAAGATCTCACTTTTTAAAATTTAAAGAAGGCATAGATGAGCAGCCACTCCAAATGCTACTGCTTTCTAAATTGCTTGCAGCCACGTGCAGAAAATCCACGGGCCATTCCCAGAAACACTGCAGATTGTTTTTCTTCTTCAAACCCAAATTTATTAAAGTTTAAAACTGACTTGCGAATTTTCTGAAGGATCCACACAAATGGATGCCTCTGTGGCTCTTTCAGAGAAGCAAACAACTGGAGCTCACAAACCAAGACCGTGTCTAGGGGCGGAGCCACAGGTTCTGCAGTATCAGACCAATCATGGCCTTCCCTGTCAATTGCAGTCTTGTCTGCCACACTGTGTCCCCAGGGTCTTCTTTCTGAGGAATGCATGGTTTTTAAGAAGACCAGAAGTGAAAGTGGGTAAAGGACAGAAGCACAGAAAAGCAAAACAAAGCCAGACCTGGGGATAATTTCCAGATCCTTCCTTCCTAACACAAGTGCCTCCCCGTTTTGCTGTTTGTTTTTTCCACATCCCCGTTTGCCCCAGAGCCATCAAGCTGTTAGTGTGTACAGGAGGGAGTAAAGTGGGCCAGCAGGTTGGATGAAATATAAATTAAAATTAGACTTCTGTCAGTCTGGAATCGGGGATTGTTTTCAAGGTCTCCCCAAACACTTAATTTCAAATGAGTCTTCATTTATTACTTCAAGAAAGGCCAAATGCATAATTTATCAGCAGCATTCAGTCAATATACCCTTATAAGCATGTTTCCCATGAGCCTTTGAGTAAAAATATGTTATGCTAATTCTATTAGTTGGGTACACAAGAGCTGTCTAAGAAAGTAAACAAGCTTTAAAAGGAGACACATGTGAACAAAGAAATACTGATCAACCTACTGTCCAGGGTCAAATTACCAAGGGATAAGGAGGTGTCAAGCTTGTCTCCTCATGCTGCCTCTCCAACCAGAACCCAGAGCCACCCAGAGCCACGCGACTCAGGTGACTTAGAGTGGGAACAGGGACTTACCGAGTCTCTAACGGCACGTTGCTGTTCAGCACCCAGCTGTCTTGAAGCTGAACGGACTCCGGCGTGGTGGCCAGGTCATTGGGTGCTGGAGCTGGGGCGTGGATTTGGCTCCGCCGATTGGTCAGCGAGTTCCTGTTGAGGGAGTTGGCAGAAGAGTGGTGATGGGACAACGTGTGGTTATGAGGGGGTGGCAAAGGGGGCCTCAGAGTTGACTGGCTGTGGTGATTCGGAGGGCCTGGAAGAGAGGAAGGAGAAACAACCATCAGTACCAGTAAGATTCCAGCCTCAGGAACTGTGCACCTGAGAGGTGGGGTTTGCAGCCAAAGTCCCCATGCCTATAGTGACTGAAAACCACAAACCAGAGGTTTCAGGTGGGGCTGCATAGAACACCCCAGTGTTATTAGTCACAGACGAGTACTGTGCTTTAATTCATGCTTATTAATATGCATCAGTTAGAGAGCAGAGAGGATTGAGGTTAGAAAAGCCAAGGGGATAAGGGATGAATGGCCACCTGAGTTAGCTGATGTTGTAATAGAAGAGATAACACATTCAAGGCTGATTCTGGTTGTGACAAGTTTTCATCCCGGAAAAATGGAAAGGCCTATGTTCTCTAAAGCAAGCGACAAACAACCTAGCTGTTCTTGTAGAAGTGGAAGATACAATAATGGTTATGAGAGGCTGTACAGGTAGGTGACAGGGAGAATTTAGACAGGGGGCACAGGCAGTTATGTAGGAGGGCCAATATCTGGGGTTCTTCTGCACAGTCGAGTGGTTATAGCCAACAGTAAAGCATATTCCCACTAAAGGGATGTCTCCTGAACATTTCGTTACAGAGAGATGCTGTGTTTCAGGTGGCAGGTATGCTGGATTTGATTATCACAGAGCATTGAAATATTATATTGTATCCCATAAATCTGTGCAATTATTGTGTGTCAATCAAAAATGGTTACTGGGCCAGGGAGACAGCTGAGTGGGTGAAGTATTCACTGTGTAAGCATAAGGATCTGGATTCAGATTTCCCGAACATATGCAAAGCCAGACACAATGGTGCTCATCTACAGGCACAGCCCTTCCATGGGGAGATGGGAGGCAGCAAAAAGAGAATTCCCAGAAACTCTCAGGGCAGCTGGCCAAGCCTATGGAGTGGCAAACATCAAAAGACACTGTCTCAAATGAGATGGATGGTGAGTACTGATAACTGAGGCATGGAACACACACACACACACACACACACACACACACACACACACAGAGAGAGAGAGAGAGAGAGAGAGAGAGAGAGAGAGAGAGAGAGACACGGGAGGGCTTGCATTTACAGATGCATTTACATCATGGTAGTGACTAGGCAGGAAATAAAGCATTCCAGTTGCTGACCGGGTTGAACCGGTGCGGGCAGGAAGTATTCTTCAGAGGATCAAGGTCAGTGCTACCGTGAGGTAAAGGCAAACATGTCTCCTAGTTCTGTAGGGGTCATTGAGGATCTGTACTTTTGGAGGAAGTTTCCTGGGTTCTTAAGAAGTTGACAATTCAAAATAAATGAATAGACAGAAAGAAAAATAAATAAATAGGTAGGAAGACATATATATGCCTGCATATACATTTGTTTAAAATGAGAGTCTGCCAGCCCTCTCTGATAGCTGATTTCCATCAAGAGCTAAGTTCTGTGGACAGAGTCTGCTGAAGGTCAAGGGAGATATTTTAAAATCACGATCCTTGCTTCAAATCACATCCTATCTTTCAAATACCGAAATCCTCTATCCTTGCAGAGGAAAAGCTCGCCTGAGAGCTCTACCTCTGGAAAGGTCCTCCTGTAAATATCCCTACTCAGGATGGCCCTGTCCCAGGCTTGCATAGCAACCACTTCTCCATCTGCACGATGCAGTATTTGAAACATAACGAAAGCAAAAGCAGTACACTACGCGATGTAAGTCTATAATTTCCTTTTAATGGATGCCGAAACATGACTTTTAATTTGTGTCCTTTGAGGAAGTCTATTTTTTGAAGCCTCCAGTCAGTGTTGGCAGCTCACCAGGTGACTGCTGAGCCTTGTCATTTTGGCCCATGCCAACTTTGAAAATCCCCAGCCCCTGCCGTCCTGGCTTTAAGAAGTTGGCTCAAGTCATTTAAACAAGCAATTTGACACAAATTTCAACTACTTGTCTCCTTATGTGGCCAGGCTACATCTCCGAAAGGTGTAATCTACATTCCGGGGTTCCTGTGAAGCCCATAGAAGCATTCCGAAGGAAAGACAACATGTCAAAAAGATAGGTTTGGAACCATCACCACCAGTGAAAACAGAAAGGAAAAGAATAGAGAAAACTTGTTCCTGGGAGTTAGAATCTCTAGGTTGAAATTACTTGGGGAATTTTTTTTTTTTTAGTGTTCAGAAAAAAAGACAACTAAAGCTAAAACCCAGTGGGAAATGCCACAGTACAGTTGTATAGATTTTAAATCGTGTCCTCCAAATGAACCTGTAATTCATGTTTTACATTAGGCAGCAGTGACACCTTAAATACATCTTTGGTGGAGTTTCATAGCTGTAGCGGGGCTATTACATATGCTGGCATTGTTGTCTGACTAGAAATGTATTATTACATAGTTATTTAGCATTTGTCTGTCTCCTATTAGTGGGAAGAGGCGGGAAAGGGGCAAAATGATGTAATAATGATCTCTCAGAGGCCCTCTCCAAGCCCCTCACACAGGGTTAATGAATTCTCATGCCTCCCCCCCCCCCAACTTTCATCCAAGTGGTATCATTATTCCCCATTAGTTAAGCAATTAAGAGACTTGCCCGGGGAAGATGAGGTGAGCCAGTGTAGAGGTGAGAATCCACACTCCCTGCTCTGAGCCCTAACTTTCTATCTTCCTCTGGCCCCAGCTCCTACCCTCAGCACTCTGGACCACACACTCTCCAAGTACAAAGAGGCCAAGTGAGGAATTTATTTCCCTGATCAAGTTCCCAGACCTGCCTGCTTCCTGTCTGCTCAACCCAGGAGAACTACCCTTGCCTATTCCAGCTGTGGGGCCTTGGCTTCACTGTCCATCTGTGTTGGGAGTGGGTGGAATTCTTGTGGTTTTGTGTGTGTGTGTGTGTGTGAGAGAGAGAGAGAGAGAGGGAGAGAGAGAGAGAGAGAGGGAGGGAGAGAGAGGTCTCCAAGAGTAATGCCTGGGTCAAGGGAAGAATGAGTTAGACTGCTGTGTGGTATGTTCTACGTACCTGGAAAGTGAGTACCCACGTTAATTGAAAGAAAGGTCAAGAGTCTCTTTCCAGTTCTCTTAAAAGGAAGGCTTAGAACTTTCTGGGTGGGGAGGAAACGAGAGAAATAAGAGTAGGGGAAGCTGAAAGAACACTCAGTTCTTCATTCCCTCTACCCTCCTGTGAAGCAATGTGCTATTTCACTTCAAATAAATTATCAACAGCAATGAAAACAAAAAGATTATTTTGCACCTTACTAAAGAGAAAGTTTTTGCCACCAGTGCTCATATCGACAATGCTGGCTGCAGTTGCTCATGTATACACCTTTCTAGTGGCCATATTTTCAGCTAGGTTCACAGGAAAGACTAATGATGATACTGCACAGAGCAGTTATGCTACCACCAGGCAACACAGAGTGATGAAGGAATGAATGGGATGGACATTTAGTTAGAAGCCAAGAGAGAAAAATCTAAAGAATTATTGCATAATTATTGTGAAAGGCTGTTGTTTTCTAGTTGTAGAAACCTGAGCACAGTTTAAGTCTCAGTTAAGTCTGAGACTTGAGTTTTATGCATGTACCAAAGGGTGGAAAATAGCAATGATGACCCACTAGGATTCTGGTGATGTGAGAAAGGATGAAGGCACTGAACATGCTTACTCCAATGGCCTGCCAATACACAAACTCACATGCAGAGAACACTTTAGTTCTTTTGGGGATGAAAGACAGTAAGTAAGACAAATTATAGCTCCAAAGGAGCCCAGATTTGAGCATTTAGGGTAATGGTTCTCAACCTGTGGGGTGCGACCCCTTTTGGGGAGTCACATATCAGATATCCTGCATATCATATATTTACATTACAATCCCTAACAGTGGTGAAATTGTAGTTATGAAGTAGCAACAAAATAATTTTATGGTTGGGGGTCACCACAACATGAAGAACTGTATTAAAGGGTCACAACATTAGGAAGGTTGAGAACCGATGATTTAGAGTAATCCAGACTTCAGCTATCCTGGTCAATGATCCCAGGTCAGTAAGCTTCAATGTGAATACTATGAAAACTCAGTCACTATGTTGTAGTGTTCTAGATTCTTGAGGCAAAACTCAGAATCAAAATGAGTTATGACTCCTGTCACAACAACAGGTCAGAAGTGCATGTTCTTGGCTGTTTCTCTAGTGTGCCCTCGATGGGTGTTATCACCTAATGCAGCAATGGCTTTTGATGCCACAGTCATTGTGTTTCTGATCCTTTATTCTGCTGTTTTGGTGACTCTCGGTTTGACCTGGGCACCTTGTGAGTGCTGTGGCAAAGGCACCTTCTGCATTTACCAGCTTTCATCACAGACATTCTGGGATCTGCTGCTTAGGAAGATTTTCCATTTACTAAGTTTTAAACAATGGCTATCAGTTGATGCTTAACCTCTGTCCAAGAATGTTTTCCAAGATACTCAAGGACAAGGGAAGCCCTTTTCTAAAGTGATGGGTAGCTCCAGTTGGTGATGACACGGAAATGAGGAAACCAGCCTTGTGGATGAACCATGATGTCCACTCTTAAGATACAGACATTTATTGGGTTAGCTTGATATGTGTATTATTGATGTCTCTCCTAGAAGACAAATGCCAGACTACACAATAATCCAATTCAAGTACAAATAACTGCAGCAGGTAAGTGCTTATAGAGTAGCAGGCTGCCAGGTATGCCCTCAGTGGGCCAAAGGCAATTGTTATTGAAGCCTTGTACTGATTAACATGGCACACGATGGCTTAAGCTGAAACTCAGGATGGTCCAGCCTAAGCTACATAGCAAGACCCTATCTCAAAAATAGAACAAAATAATTAACAATGAGAACCAGAAGTTATTTTTAGCTTCTGAGTGGCCTTTCACCGTAGGAAAAAGGATCTGTATTATTGGGTCTTTATCAAGAACGGAAGAAGTTGAGCGTCCTAGAAAAACTTCCCGGATTTCCAGGAATGATGCTTCTCACATGTGCAAACCCTGGAAAGTGGATGTATGTTGCTGACTTCCCTGTGACCGCCTGT